GTATTATTATTTGGCGCCCTTTTCATTTAGTACTAGGTTAAAATGTATTTTTAAACGTTTTTTGCATATAATTAAAAGAAAATTTGTTTAGTTTAATGTAGATCGAAATATATTTCACCTCGTGAACACCAAAAGTTGATATTTCACTCGTGGCTGCGCCACTCGTGAAATATGCCTTTTGGTGCTCACTTGCGCCACTCGTGAAATATGCCTTTTGGTGCTCACTCGGTGAAATATATTCCGATCTTATACTGAACTAAACAAATATCCTCTATTTATTTAATGCTTTCCAGTGTTTTACTGTAATATATCAGATGATTATAATCTGATAAACCACTAGTGAAATTTATAAATTTTTTATTGTAGCCGGACTATATCTGAATGCGGATGAAAAGAAAATCATAACTAAATGAAATAACAGGCAGAAATAGATGCCGCATTACGTAAATTTTGCTTCTTTAGGAAAAAAAAGTCATATCATCATACATCATGTTAAAAATGTAACAAAATAAGAGAAAGTTTAACAGAACTATATTTCAAAATTGATAATGTGACGTCATAATGTGATGACGTCACAAAGGAGAATGCGCGACGTTACGCCGCAAAATCAGTAAAAAATACTTAAAATCACTTAAAAAGCATGAAAAAAAAAGAAAATTTATTTGTTTTGCATGTAAGATTGAAATATATTTCATTCGTGAACCCCAGAGCCAAGATGGATTGGAGACGTGTTTTCTTATTTGTAATCACGATTGTGGTGCAAATAAAAAGTAAGTAAAGAAATGATAAGTAAACAAGAATGGTTTTATATAAAATTCCAATTAGTGTTTTTGCTGTGAGTTACAATAATACGTGATATTTCATTATAATAAAGGATATAAAGGATTTGTTATTACTTATTATTATAATAAATATAATATGTTTTTGCAAATCCTCATTAAAAGACCTTGTTAAACCGATTTCTGAATAAATCGTCACAAAGTTGTTTGTACACATTGAAACGTAATAATTACACATATTACGACTTTTTATCAGATGAAATCGGCGTATTTATGATAATTTTTACATATGTTGACATGAATCAATGGACATATTTATTTTTTTATTTTTTGGACATACATCGGCTTTCTTTGATGGCGTCACCACAAACATGACTGCTGTTGGCGATGATAATTCTGCAATTGTTGACGTCACTATCGAAGGTTTTCCGCCATCTTTAGATTGTGTAGTCCACGCCAGCGACATTAGAATGGATACAGTCGACGTCTTTGAAACAAATGTAACAGATCAGTTTAAAGTCACTACAGATTTTCAACCTGCCGGTTATTTTACAATTTACATCATATGTTTCAAAAATGATCAGTACGAGACAAAAGAAGAGAGCATCTTCTTTGGAGACAAAATAAAAAGCGCGGTCGCAATGAACAGCCTCTCGTCGTCTCTAACTGCATGGTGCATGTTGTGCTGTATGCACATTTTGCATTGGCTGTGCTGAATGTGATAAAGGCATTTAACTTGTTTTGTTTTTTTTTGTTGATTTTTTTTGTTCAGGACAGGAGATTGCCGGCAGAAACCGTAAATGAAGAGAAAGTAAAGTAATAAAAAGTGAATAAGAACATTGTAACTGTTGTCACATCTGAGAATCAGTCTGTGTCATGAAAATACTTTGGTTTTGTAAATAATTGTTACCATACTTATGCTGTTTTATATGCTTTTTTGGTTTGGTCAATTTTATGAAGACATTATCACGGTCCAGCTCTATGAGTTTACTTAAGAATTATTACGCTTGAATACCACATGGCATCTCAACCTTTTGTCACGTTTTGCCGTGTTCTTACCTTTTAGTATATATATTGATGCTTTGTCGGGCTTTAGTATAAATAAAAGTTCTTCTTCATATAATATGTTACATGAGTAAAATGCTCATTTTTATGTATTAAAAACCTGTCAAGAATGCGCATACATTTTAAAAGAATGTTTGTGATTAACACAATATGATTTCCCTCGTTGGACTTTTACCTACGGTATAATATAAGAAATAGCACACAGTACGTCGAACCTCATAGCATTACAAAGCATTTTATGTTTAGTATTTTAATATCGACATTGTAGCCTCGACATAATCTTCTTCTAGTTCTTGGATTGTAAAATTATAACTATTATATTTTAATTGTGAACTTAAAACATGCTTTCTTTTACATGGTGTGCAGAAAGCGTAAAGATACAACAGCGCAAAACGCATAAAAGTAATTTCTTTTTAATAATTTAATTGGCTTATACTCAGTAACATTGTCCTGACTCAAAAGAGTTATTTAATTTAATCACCAAACTAATTTCTAATTTCAAATATCAAATTACAACAAAAGTAAATTGTTTATCCTTTCAAACAAATTCAGATAAAATCATTTAGCCTTATTATGTTATTATTAGAAGCAATGATTATATGTACATAGAAAAAAGATTATTTTTTCTAAAACTGCGCGTAAAACATATTATTTGTTTATACATTTTATTTTTAGTAAAAAAAAATATTGACGTTTTGAACATTTGAAAGTTTTATATTTTTTGTGAGAAAACGACAACATAAATAATAATGTTTGATCGTTAAAGTTATTACATTTTTTGAAATAAAGTTTATCTGAAAATCTAGAAGTTGTGTGCATTAATTTTGAACAAGATTGCTTTATTGCCGCATTCTAATCGGCATGTCAATCTTATCATTCATTTCATTAAAAAATTGACGTACATATTCGTATAAGAGAATTTGGAGTATAGAAAAGCACAATGATATAGATCTATTCATTTGAAAAATATATATATTACAATATCATAATTATAGAATTGTATAAGGAAAACATGCCTCTTAAGACAATAAGGGAGTAATGAAAATTAAAACATTTGAAGAACACTCATGTTCAACGTGCATTCGCAATGGTAGACTTTCGTTGAGAGTAAATTAAGGACCTCAGGCTGACGTTATTTGTATCTTGTATGAGATGTCTGATTTGTAAGGTATAATAAAATAGATATCACATCTAACTACGGGTGATATAAACAAAATGTTTACCCTTGAAAAAATAATGTCAACGTAACACTACGTTTGACATCGCAAGTTAGTCTCGGATGAACATTTTTTTCTATCACAGTCACTAGGATATATCATTAATACATGTACATAATACCGTTATTAAATGTGTTCTTTCTTTATTTATAAATCTCAAACGGAATTTTTAACAATTTAATAGCCACGATGAAGTGAGAGATCCGACCAATAAATGCAGTGGCCGTCTGAGCGGGTACTTTTACATTTTGTTGGACCACTAAAGTTTAGCTACGCTAACTGCAAGGACTTTTTTTGTATAAAAACCTGTGAAGAATGCGCATACATTTTAAAAGATTTTTTTGTGATTTACACAATATGATTTCCCTCGTTGGACTTTTACCAACGGTATAATAAATGAAATAGCACACAGAACGTCGAACCAAATAGCAGTACAGCAACATCCAAATCACCCCAAACAGTTGAACGGATCGAAACCGAATGTTTTGAGGACAAACTATCGGCCAAGCCCCAAAACACCGGCTTAAGCAGAATTCAACGTGGTGAAATTGCGAATTTCGAAACATCCGCAGATGTGTTCATACGGCGGTTATCGTGGAACATTCAATGTGACACAGTAGTGTCATTCCATTAAAAGTGGCGTATGGTCCCCAAAACAACGGAAGTGGTGAAACTAGTGGATGGGTATATCTTAAATATAAAATACTTTGTTGACAACTTAAAAGAGATTTGAATTTAAACAAACTTGGCCAATGACAATAGTATTGGGGTAAAATATTAAGTCTAAAAAGTCTGTAAAAAGTACATACTAAAAGGAAATGATATTCATTTTCTATACAATTCATTTTACATTTAGCACATTTTCCTTGGTTTCTATTAATGTTTCTATATCTCCCTTCTCCAATAGCTAGATTATAAGCAGAACATCTAAATCGGGACAAAGCAATTCTGTAGCTATCATATTTTACACAATTTGAATATTTTTCTAATTCAAAACTATATTTAAATAAAGAGTAGGTATTAAGTTTATGAGATTCATTGAGCTTAAGAATCCAAGGATTTCATAATTCTGAATTAATATTTAATCATTCTTATTTTACGGCTTATAATCATCGGAAGACGTCCTAATTCACCGTAAATCGCAACACCATGAGTCTGTTGACGAACCTTCAATACGTTTATTTTTTTTGATTTCAAATGATTTTTTCTATATCTGGTGCCCTATAATACCCCAAATTTGAAATTCATGAATCAAAATCGAAGAAATCATAGATTCAAATAACTTGATTTTGTCTTTTATGTCAAGTGATACAGTTTCAAACACTGAGATACATATTTTCCATAAGACATCCCATATGTTCGTCATTCTTATGAAAAAACCAACAGCAAAGACAAGCGAATTATTACAACCAATTAGTAACCATTTAAGCTTTAAGTAGATATGAAGAATCGGCTAACATAATCAAAGTTTTTTATTTCTATTTCAGGCTATTCAACGCCAACAAAGAATGCAATGTCCGTATCATTGCAGATGATAAATATTCGCCTCACCATTTCACAAAAATTCTTATACGTAGAAAAAAATGTTAATAGTTTTACAATATATACAGTTTATAATAAAAGTGTTATAATTATCCTTTTATCACCTCCAACTTCTCCAACTTTTTTTTGCATAGGCATGGAATCAGTTATAATTAAAATTTAATAGCATGCATAAAGAACTGTTAACGTGATGCATCCAATAAATGCGAATGATGAAGTTAAAGAAGTAAGGAGACAAATTTTAGAAGATACATAATAGTTTAAATAGAACCCAATTTTCAGTCCCGAAATGCTTGCAACGGGATTAAAAGGCAGGGGACACGATGTATATGAATCAAAAAACTTTCAATGTGTAGGGAAACCGTTTTGTATGGGGTTTTAAAAATATGATTGGTAATTATTGCACAAGACCTAAATGCATATAATGATGTCTTACATAACATTCACAGGTACGTTCGAAATAGTTTTTCAATACAATCCATCTTTATTAATGAAAATATTAAGCATCTATATTGCGTGGTTTGACCGATTTTTGCACTCACCAGTTCACTTTGTAAGAATCAACGCTCTGGTATGATTAATGTACACCGCACGTGGTGTTATAGCCATACTGTGAGTAATGCGCACCTTACACTGTGTGACTGATCGACGCGATGTAAAAATATTTGGTCTCTGGTTCTGATTTGTTATTGAAATCGGCGAGAGGCTTAAAACTACAAAGCATTCGTGTAATTCGACTACAATTTTTGCAGTATTACTTAGCATTTCAATAATATCGTTTACGAAATATAACATCCGCCGCACCTGGAGCCTGAAGTGTCACGGAACATTCATAACCGTTGCTTTCCATGTATTTACATAATGCGTCTTTACCTTCAAGCCATTTATCGAATTCAATAGCAAACATACTGATATCCACTTTGTTCCAAGGGATTGCGTCAAGGACTTGTTTTTCAACCCCTTCAATATCAAGGCTGAGAAAGTCTACATGCGGTTGGTTTAATGCAAGAAGTATAGAATGTAAAGGAAAACACTGGACAGGGACTCTTGCTTCTTGGTCATATCTCTGAGAAAATCGTGTTTTCTGTACTATACTTCCCACTACTGGAATAGCTGATAAATGTTCCTGAAAAAATAATACTATCCACACATAGTATTCTACGTCATTTGATGCTAAGTTACACTTGTTTATCTTGTGATAGCATTGAAAATCTTTACTTTTTTAAATTTAAACAGAGATAATTGAACATAGAAATTAAGCTGATAAGTGGTTTCAGCAATAATTTTAAACATGTTGATTTTGTACTATAGATATTACTCAGTATAATAAACACTTGGATATATAGCTGTCGACAATATACAAGTTTTGTTTGTCTGTGGTTTTTGTTGTTTTGTTGTATACATGTTTTTTAACTAAATAACTGCGAAAAATGTGTGGGTTACATTAATATATAAGCTTTTTACATAAAATATTTACTATGACTGCAAAATCGAGCAATTCCGTCATGATTTGTGGAGACAAAATTTTGCAATAATCCGTGCATGACCGTTGTTTGGTTCGATAATGTATCAATAGAAAAAATACTCGAATGAACCCAGATGTAAAAAGTTATCTTTCCTCGGTTAGACATATTTTGAATAGAATGTTTCAGAAATTCAGAAATTTGTTTATGTTTTAAAATGAAGAGACTTGTCTTACTATTGAGGGATATGGATGAATACTTAAACATGCGTTGATAGTGTAGGCTTTTCGGCGCTTTTGTTGAAGCGCTTCAAAAGAACCAGGCAGCGGCTCTATTAATACTCCAGTCCAATGTCTAGTTCTTTCCAAGAAAATTGTGTTTGATAAATATTCCCCGTCGTGAGCTCCACTTTCAACAAAGAATCCATTTTCCTGTAACAGATATATCAATTTAGCAATATCACATGTGCTACGAAATAAACCTCAAATTGAAGAAAACATATAAGTATATCATTTAAACACTCACCTGTTCTTCTTTTTTTTCTTTTTAGCGGGTGTGGGTGGGTCATGGGGCTTTTTTTGCTCATGTTTAAGATTACGAGTCAAATCAACATACTCTTGTTTCTCGGTTTTATCTTTTTAGAAATATTTTATTGGTTTGTGACATAGCCGAAGTGTACAAAATATTTCAAGGATAATATAGACGATTAAATGCTCATTCAATTGTCTAAATATGAATGCATGAATATGAATATAAGATTACAAAGGAAAAGGGTGGTAAGATATGCCTCAGAATTAGGGAGGTTCTATGGACGCTGTAGTTTATACCTATAGAAGTTCACACATAGTGTTTTCAAAGTCATTGATAATTGTCGTTCTTTAAGAAAATGCGTTTCAGCATTAATTACTAAGTTCATAACCATGCCATGCGAAAGCAAAATATGAAATATTTTACGAAACTGGATGTTCATTTTCATGTCCTGAAAATAAAATCAATTTATTTATGTATTTATTTATTTGGAAAAGATGTCTTTCGAACACATGTAACAAATCATATGTGTAATGTTTAAATCTTAAGAGACGAAATGTCGTAATCTACGAACGAGAAAAGGTTTGTGGGTCAAAATGTTTGCTGGTCTATACTACCAACTGGATACAAGTCCATGTAGAACAATCTATGCATAAATACATGTATAAAATGGAATTGTTTCCAAATTCTTTACAGCAAAGACTTATTTACGGCAGACACAAGCTTTCTTGCATTTTTATGTTTTATTCTGTTTTATTGAGTGAAAATACAAGTATGTTAAGACGTGGCTAACAAATTAAAGGTTTCCAATGAAATCTATCCCGATACATATATCATGCCAGTATGTGAATTGCATTGTGCAATATGCAAATTAAAGCAGCATCTTTTAATTGCTTGCTGTTTAAAAGTTGAAAGAATGTGGTATATCTAGCTCACTAAAATTATATGAGTTTTATATAACACAGCACACTATTTAGTTCATAAATTGTTTTAGCTAAATTTGTTAATGATATATGCATGATGGGGTTACATTTACGATGTCCTGTCGTTTTTAATTTTGTAATAAATTTCTCAACATGATTACCCTATCGTAGTTAATCATAGATTCAAAACATTATATATGCCACTAGTATATCATAGCTACATACAATTTTTGAATATGACATTATCCATGATATAAACTGAAAGGTTTGCAAAAAATGTACAACCATCTTCTTTGACATAGCTTAAACCGATAATTAAATACAGAAGGCACTATTACTGTAACGATATGTTTATATGCATTCTTGAAACAAACAAGACTTAGTTTATATGCATTTCAAACTTACTTTGAATCCAAGTCTATTATCGACGAAAGCGGCTTGGCCCATTGACGTATCTATCGTGTTCATATGATGAAGGTTGTATGGTAAATTTGATGGAGATTTAATGAAATACTGACGTATCAGCTTCACAAGTCTTGGGTCGTCTGCCGCTACTTTTTCTCTATTTAATTTGTCCATTTCACTTTCCACGTACGTTCTTGGTGATCTAGCAGCCAGTAATTCGTCAACCGTTAATTTGTCGCTATTTAATTCGTGATAATAACCTGGTCGTGTCTTACCCAGTAATTGTTTACGCTTAAGAAAAACTTGTTTTGCATTCTTATCACGCGCAATACGCAACATGCCGTTAGGTATTTTGTGAAATCGGGCTTGGTCTTTTTTCATACCCCTATTGTACGTATTTGTAATTACTTCTGAGCCATTGCTAGCTGTGTTTCTTTGAATATAGTCAAAACTGTTTTCGATTTTGTTCTTATTTAGGTCATCTGAATTTACACGTATTGTTTTCATACTTGAAGTAATCCATACTGAAGCACACAAACATAACACTGTTATAAACACTATTGCCCCTTTCCAATTACATCTTCGTTTCATTTTGAAGCCAGTTGAAATTGACAAGAAAATATGTTCCATAAAACATACAAATGTATATTTCATTCACATTCAGCTTTGATAAACGCATGCTGAATTTGTATTAAATGTATAAGTACTGAAAGTATTGCATATGGTTAAAAATTATACGTTTTAGTTACCTTTAATTGTACTATCACGGATTTAAACTCTAACACTGAAAATAACATGTATCAAATGTTAACTTAAATGATTATCCTACAAGGAAACTGAGCACAGATGTTATAGTTCTTTCACACATTCTTACAAAGTCAGTTTTTCAATATGTTGTTTTAACACCATATATTGATCATCTTTCTGTTTAAAGTTTGCATACATGTCGCTGTTATACATGTATAATGTTTTTGATCTCTCTATACCTCTCCGTCCGATTCCTTTGAGCATTAAGTGTTGTAAATTATTTACATACATGTATATTATTTGAATAAAATATGTTTAAACCAAAACCTTTAACTAATCTTTGCGAAATCCTTTGCTTTTAAAGACACATTTTTTCAATGTACATTATTTAAAAGGTATGTACATATATTTAAGTGTAATGTTTATCCGAGGATCAAATTTATTGAAGCGTGTTAAAAAAATAAATGACATCCTTTCCTTACAGATATAAGCGACCTTATCATTGAAGTAAAGGTTAAACTGCTGTAACAATTCCCACTAGTATTTTGACATCTTTTACAGTCGGGTGTATGGTATGGTATGATATTGTATGGTATGGTATGGTATTATTATCAGCGATTTCTCTCTGTGTAAAAATTATGATTCTTTCATGTTTAGAATTTAATGAAACGTGCATGAACTGTTTTTTATGTTATTCTATAGGTCGGATTTATAAAAAGATAATTAAAATAAAATTTGTAGGTTAATTCGTTCTTTAAATTTTCTTCCATATATAGCGTTTTTCTTAATCATTCAACAAATCAGTCATTGGCTTTTTAAAATTTCATTTTTGACAATTGTTTGCATACATTTTGATATATATTAAATATATATACTCTTGTTTACAATAATGTTGTCAAAGAAGGTCTGTTGTTTTCAATATTTTCAATGTTCGCTTGAACATTTAAAGAACTATAATATGTTTTCAAAATAGAGATGTAATTTTAACTGCAAATATATCTTTATTAAAGTGCAAAACGATCTATTTTAACGATATATTTTAGATTAAACAAAAATCTTGAAAAGAGGAGACACCTCTAGTTTAATGAAAACAAAACCAAGTTAAAATAAGTAAAAATAGCAAATAAAGTTTGATTAAACAAAACTTTCATTGAAAATAAACTATTTAAATATTGATTTAAACGTCGAGTTAAACAATATCCATATGATTTCAATACAATGTATCACTTCGAAATACGAGTGTATTGTGTAGTAAACAGAATCATGTCTATATAAATTAAATATTATGGTCTACAATCAAGGTGACAAACAAATATAAGATAAAGCCCAAAGAAAAAACTTCTTCAGTGTCCGAACAATAAGAGATGAACTGTGTTATATCCTTGAATATGCCATTCATGATAAGGGCATTGCTTTTCTTATATTTTTATCAGATGAAAACCCTTGATAAAAAAAATTCATTTCACCTGCATGGTGCTCGAAACATAAGATCTTTTAAAACAGCGTTTTGTTATTATATTTTTTAATCATATATTTTGTAACCGTTAACTTAAGGGAACTCCATGACTCATAACAATATACATATCATTTAACCCTTTCCCCCATGAGCATATTGTGAAAAATGGCCATTTTCACTGAAAAGCCTCCTCTTACAAGTTCAAACTGCTATGAAACTAAGAAAAATGCTTCAATACTAATCAAACTTGGCACAAATGTTGACTGGACCATTGCCTTTGTAACGACATGCTCAGTCTTAAATTTCCAGTTACCATGGCAACGAGGGGACATCTCAAAATTGCCAAAAATCACTTTTTTGCCTCGATATTTTCCATCAAAATTTATTTCAAAGTGCTGCAACTTCTCAAGGGATTGAGATAGAGTCAAAGGCTTTTCAGCGTTGGTTACACGTTACCTTATGATCAACCTGGGGTCATTTTAAGCCTCTCACAAGTCCAAAATTTCTTGGCGATGAGGGGGACTCCGCCCCCCTTCAAACCCCCCAAACAGAAGGGTGCACATCCCCCTTCTGGCAACCCCCTGATGTATTATTTGGATGGGGGACGGCGCCGAAAAAATGGTCACTTTTTTTAACAACATTTCTCAAACGAAAAACAGTGTTTGGGGTCTAAATAGGACATTTTTTCACTGTTTGAGACCTCAAAAGGGGGGGGGGGCAAAAAGCCGTCGAAACACGCTTATATAAGGGAAAAGGTTAAATTCTTCATGCTTAAATATAATGTAGTAACAGATAAATCACTAAAGAATGCATTTCTAAAAGAAAATTCGATTATGATTCTACAATTTAAATCAATATTAGTGTTAAGTACATGTACATGTCTGTTTCGCATGTTATGATTCTTTCCGGGACGACGTTGTTGTTGTTGTTCAAATTTCTTATATAATAGTAAATATTGAACATCATTTGTTCCAAATTACGCACAAAATGTTTGCTAGTCAGCCATTTTTGTTTGATATGTTTTTCCTTATTTTTTTTCCTTTAATGTTAAAAGAGCACAGGATGTACCTTAATATTTAAGTGGAAAACCCGTCAAAGTTTTACCCTAATGAGTTTTATGAATAAGAAGTAATGAAAATCTTAAGAACTAAAGCATTTTCGTCCCTTAGGAGCTTTAAAAACATGGCCTATATTAATACCTTTTTTAGAGTTTTAGGCATCATTCAATATTGGCCTAGACCAATAGCTTGTGTCCAAAATTTCAGATTATTTTATAGGTCCCTCCGTTTTTTCTATAATTATCATTATTATTGCGCCAAATGACCCGAAAATGAAAAGCGTTAAACGCGTTTAACTTAAATCAGGTAATAAAATCAAATTTTATTTTTTTAGGCTATTGACCCAATGGAATTTCTTTAATTTTATTTTCCATAATTATTAATAAGCTATTCTTTCAAAAAAGACACAACCTTTCATCGTGCTATTTATGGAATGAATCATAATACATGTACATGCTTATAAAAAAATGGCATGCAAATGCAAGTTAAGTTGAACACTGTCATTAAATCTATTCATGTTTACAAATTTAAACATGAGATTTTTGGTATTCAAAACGTTGTAATCATCCTTAAATAGTGGCATTCGTGACGATGAATCATGATAATGTATTCATGATATGGGCGTAATTAATTTTCTTTTTTAAAAGTAAGTTTATCTGAAAAGGTGTTTAATTGCTTATACATGTACGCATACTTTGACCAAGTTTGTTTTATTGCTGCTTTCAAGTTCTCATTTCAAGGGTTCAGTGAAACAGAAAACGTTTAAAGTCGTATGAGAATTTTTAAGTACAGACGGTGATATATTTATTTATTAAAAAGAATTGCACAATTTATATAGAACATTATAACAAAGATATAATATGTCACTGATTACATTGTTTTATGGTGTAATACAACTGTAATATTTCAGATGAGCACATATTATCGATGACAATTTGATGAAAGGGACTCCACTGAGGTTTTTCGACGTGACGAAACTGGAATTAATTTTTCAAGATTAATGTTCAGTTTGATGTAGGTCCTGATCAGTAACTTGTGTGCAAAATTTTAGATCATTCGCTCTTGCGGTTTATCCAGGATAATCATTCAAATTGTGAAAAATGACCCAAAACGGAAAAGCGTTTAAACGCTTTTAACTCAAATCGTATCAAAAATAGCACAAAAATACGGTGTTCAGTTCATTTTTTAGTATATTTCTTAATTATGTTTTGCATTTCTTCCTGCGTTACATGCCCCAGCTGATCGGTGTAAAAAATTAATTTTATGATTTTTGAACCTCAGTGACGTTCCTTTAAAAACTACATTCGCAAATCACACAAATCACACATCCGCGACACACTCCGAATCCCTTTCTTATATAGCTCTTTGTCTTTCTTTTTTTAAGTTATTGTAACTTCTATTTGATTGCACCATTTTGTTGCTCGTAAAAGATATCCAAGTACATTCAATTTAAGATGTTACTAATCTAATTTTTCATATCTTCGAAGATGGTTCAGCAAGACATCATTATTGTGTTTATGCTTCTCTTGTTGGTAGTTTTAATCTTTTGGTAAATCCACTTTCATTTTTGAACATTGTTAAGCCTATTTTACCCGATTATTGACGATCAGTGTGCGTTGGGTGGCGAATGTGTCTAAGTTACTTCCTGTGATCAAATTTCTGTTCATAATTGTACAGTGCTGTCAATGTCACTGGTGTTTTGTGTAGACGCATGTATAATGTACTTCAAAAAGAAATAATTCTAATGTGGTGCCCAACTGTGGACATTTGGATGACTGTTAAAATGTGTAAATTATTATTCCATCCAATGGGACCACAAAGGATTTCTCATAATCAGAACATTGATACAGGATGTCAATAAGATGCCCGGACTTTGCGTCTTTCTAATCGATGAATAAAATAGCTAAGACAAACAAACACATTGTTACATCCAATAAGTATATCCAAAGCTAGTCAACTTCAGTAAAAATATACAAGTCATCACAAGTGTGGTTGATAAAGTTGCGTCTAAAGATTGTCACAAAAAGCCTTTCATATAGAAAAAAGTATACCTTTTATACAAACAAAAACTATTAGAATGTTCTTATCGCCTTAAATTTCAAGAAACTTCAAATCATTTGTTTGGCATGAAATAAATTATTATAATGGCATTATCTTCATTTTTGCGCTATATTTGCTTTATATTTAACAAAAATAGCTTAAATATTATATAGTCATTGACCATTAATTGATAACAACAAAAATTTGGCATAAAACAACTGAAGCAATTGCCTGAAATATGAAAAGAAATAGAATAAAACATAGCATTTTTAAGTCTGATTTCTTACACAAAAGAATAAGTCATAGTTAAAACCTTTGTAAATTGCAAAGTTTGTCATACTTAGTTAAGGACTAAGTGAATATGTATATTAGGTGCATAACACATAACTTCATAGCTAAATTTCAAATTACATGTAGATATCTACAGTTACAGCATTTTTCCTACAAAGATGCACACAAATGCAAGCCATAACGCAGCATTCTGGTATAGGTTACGCCCACTGCATGCGACGTCATCTCCATACAATGAAAAATACGAGTGTGGTTGTATTCCACAAGCTGTGAGGCTGAAAGATGCCTTGTAAAAATTATCGGCAAGATCTGCCAATGCAGCAGTGCAGCTGGATGTAACTGTGAACCCAATGCAGCTAATTGCAGTTGTCACTGCACTGAAATAGAATGGTTAGCCTGATAATTAAAATCAAAGAGATATTTTAATTGTTTCCAATTTTGAGTTATCATATGTACGATGAATATTACTATTTACATAGATATATCTTTTATGATTTAATTTTTTATATTTGGACATTTTATTAATTTGTTCCAGTGAGATTCGTCAGAGACAAATACATATTGCTAAGTTATAATGTCAGCAATATGTCATTCCAAATCACAATTGCATACAATCCGGATTTTCTTGATACCGGATGATACAGAATTTAAATACAGCAACACTGTACAGGTATGTAATAAAGTACTGACTCAGGAAACAGAAAAAAAATCTCCTTGGTCAAATTGAAGAATTCATAATGTTTTAATTGTCAAAGACTTTATTTCAATATGGCATATTGACACATACATGTACTCAAAGTTGTTCATTTTATGTATTCTTTGTTGCCATAAGACAAACTTTAATCAGTAATTATTCATGATGCGACCAATTGATAGGTTTTATATTGCAATTGTATGTTTAACCTAATGTACAAAATGTAACAAAAATGCCTTAAAAGGCGCATTATGCCTCGGAAATCCATATGTATTGAATTTCTCAACAATGTCAAGCATGCATTAAATAATGTATTCATAATGGATTTATGTTAGATGTTTAACAGCGAAAGAAAGTAGGGCTGAATGTGCAGTTATAGGTTATGTAAACAAAGTAGTATTTCGACTTCCATACAAAATACTTATTCCCTATAAATATACAAATTAACAACAAAGCAAAAGTATCAAAGATAATTAATCTGTATGGCAATGATAATTTTTAAAAACTTTAACAAGATAACAAAAATGATAAGTTTTTGAGAGAGAAAAAAATGAAAGCATAATGGGCCTTTAAGAAAAATGTTGGATTTCCTACCTGCAGTACTGAGACTTGTACGTCGCATAATTTGCATTATTGTATTCCGTTAAAGCAGAGGTTAGAGCTGTCGCCAGATTAGTTAGACACGATGTATCGGTCCATTGGCAATTGATAAAAGCCGCCATAGTCTCTACAGTTATAATGAATTTATTAAACTGATGAATTTGTTATAGAAATTAAATAAATGTGTATGAATATATATTACATTTTTCATTGAAGAAAGAAAAATATCTAGCCGCATATCTTTAACAAAGTTATACTAATTAACAATCACGTGAATATAATAATAAAAAATCACGTTTCAGTTGTTATTATATCGGTAGTTTATTACGTGTTCCACAACACTTCTTAATATGCAACTTGGAATATACTATAATACTACAATGTACATTGTATATATTAATAAACAATAAATTCAATCAAAATTATAGAAATTGAAAATCTATATATTGGAAATAATACATGTAATCGTTTACCAGTTTGATTTTTGCAAAATGCTCTACTGGTTGCCTTCAACAAATTTGGATTTAACGTGAAGAATTGGTCTTGCGTGTAGCAGTCACCGATTGCATCTAGGTAACATTTGAGATTGCACTCAACACTGAAAAAATATTTTTTGAATTTAATATGTATTCATTCTTTCGTTCTTAAAAAAAATGAGCAGCTTTGGATAATTAATACTTACACAGGCTGCTTATAGCAAAATACATCGCTTCAAAACATAAGTTCCCTTTCATTATTTACCTATAAATTCTAAGACAGATTCAATTTACTGAACTTCTATAAGTTATTTTACAATGTAAATTTACCTTTCATGACATGAAAAGGCTGGGAATACATTACACTAATTTTGCAAATGCGGTCGCGCCTTAAGTAGTATCGGATTCCGTTTCTAAATGATACATAATGGACAGATAAGCTTGGAACCGAATTAATCCTTTACCTGGTACCGTATTACCCTAACAAAATCTGTTGAATCATATTAAGCGTTTTGTGTATTTTAGGTATTAAAAACTGTGCGTCATTAAACATTTCTCCGAAGACGCATTATAAATGGGGGCAAAAGGTAAGAAGATGTATAGGTTGTCATTCAAATATTAGACTTTTTCTCAGACAAAAATGCATTTTTGAAGATGTGTAAATTAAAATCATAGTCGCGTGTGATACATACATAATCCAATCTGATAAAATCAGCTCTTAAGTACCGCAAGATAGATATGAGCCGCACCGTGACAAAATCAACATAATGGGTTTGCGACCAGCATGAATCCAGACCAGCTGCGCATCCGCGCAGTCTGAGCAGGATCCACGCTGTTCGCTATCAGTTTCACTACTTGTAAAAGAGTTTGTAAGCGAACAGCATGGATCCTGATCAGACTGCGCGAATGCGCTGGCTGGTCTGGATCCTTGCTGGTCGCAAACGCACTATGTTGTTTTGTCATGGCGCGGCTCATATGTACTCACCTTTTGCAATATGAGGATAACACGTCCTCGGCTGACGGTTCAGTGAGATCGTTAGTAGATATAGACAAGCACTTGGTTAATTTATCTGTAATATCTTGTACTGAACAACTGTAATAAAATAGTCAAAATGTATAAAGTTATTCCGAATGTGTTATGACATAATTCAGCGTTTGTTTGAAAACAAAAATATGCATCGTTGTAATAAAGATGCTTTTAATAAACTTTAATGTAAACAGACAATTAAAATCTTGGTCAGCGCCTGGCTATTCTTCACCACACTAAACCTTATACAAGATAGAATTTCTTTAAAATACTTTAATTTGTGAAAACAAATTTAAGATATTTTTGATAACACTTATCTAAACAAAAAATGAAGTATAGAATCCTAAACATAGAGAGGATCTCGTCTGTGTGGTTAAATTATTGCACCATATATTTCATGTAAATGTAGATTTGATAAGAATATTGACTAGTAATTTTTGAATCAGATAGTAAATATTTATATCACTTACCATTACCACATGTCCGGCAAAAACCCACACAATTAAACCTAATTAAAGAAATAAACATCTTTACCGTTTATTTTATACTTATTTTGTACGAATTTTGTCACATGTGAATTCAACAATTGAATGATTCTTTCTCCATAAGCAAGGTAAACAATATTCAATAGCCGAAAAGTGAAGATTTAAGATTTTTTAATGTCAGTCTCTCTTATTATTTAAAAATAAACAAAGCTTATAAATTCCGCTTGAATGAAAGTTTTAGAGCGTCCGTTCCCGAAAGTTGGTTCAAATCCAGTCAGGGACTTTTATTCTTTCATGTGATTAAGCTTTCCAGCTACCTTGCCGAACGTCAATGGTTCTACTCAGATAGACGCTCGTGTCTATAATGCACGGGAAAATGCATCTGAGGTCTTAACCAATTATACAAGTGTGACTTATTACCCGAAAGTAAACGAGCCGTGTCACGACAAAACCAACATAATGGGTTTGCGAACAGCATGGATCCAGACCAGCCTGCGCATCAGCGCAGTCTGATCAGGATCCATGCAGTTCCCTTACCAACTCTATTACAAGTAGAGAAACTGATAGCGAACAGCATGGATCCTGATCAGACTGCGCGGATGCGCAGGCTGGTCTGGTTCGATGCTGGTCGCAAACCCATTATATTGGTTTTGTCGTGACGCGGCTCAAATATAATGCACAAAGTTTTGCTTTGTTTTGTATATATTCATACAGCTTTTGCCCAGTCAGTTAACGTGTTATTCATTATAACATGCTTATTTGTCCAATGTTTTTTTATTTGTTAATATGCGAAGTGGTATGTACGAGTATTCCAAATAGATTTCTATACTCGACATTCACAAAAAAAACTGAATTATTTACCTGCAACAAATTGGGTAAATACTGTCATATTTGAATTCGTTGAAGCTATTGGTATCTTTAGAATGCTGTAAAACGGAAAACGTAACTGTAAAATTGTGCGTTTATTTCAAATGATCTAATCATTTTTATATTTATACAGGTTTCTCTCTCACACTGTAATTGTTTTTTATTTATAAATATTTACACAGAAGAGTCTTCCAAACACGGTATTTTTCAATCATTTGAATATATACATTTAACTTGTCAATTTTCATGCTTTTATTATATATACAGGCGTAGTAAAGATTTCTTTTATGGTTTATTGAAATTATGATTTTTTTAAAATTTCTATCGATGTATGATCACCATCTAAAAGACACATTTGTATTTTTCTATATTAAACAAAATTTTCATGACATTGTATGTTATGTATTATGAGTAAAGCAACACTTGGTCATTTGAAACTTTGTATTTTGACTAAATATTTCGGTATTATATATAAAAGTATTGCAGTTATAGGTTGTTTATCAAGGGCAAGGTGCGTCCCACCCTACCTTTCCACCCCCATACCAATCCTAGATTCTTCAATATTCCAACATATCTGAGGTTATTTTGACCGAATAATTCAACAGTTTATACAGTGAAAATTATTAACAAAACAACCCTATTCTTTATTCACCTGATCAGAATGTAAAAGCGGTTGAATACTGCTTTTACCGTTGCTTTTAATTTCATCTCTAAAAATACATTATTTTGCTTCCACAAAATGCATTCATGTTATATTGTTCCATACAACTATTTTCTTCTTTACATTTATTTATAAATATTGTCTTTTTTTAACTACGTAGTCCGCGCCTTTCCTGTTTTTCTTTACATTTGTATGGCTGTTGACGTAAAACTTTTCACTGTGAACCTGATCTTTGTTAGTTGATTTACATAAATCTAAAAGGTATCTGGTTTCAAAAAAGCTTTTTAATTTTTCATGTAAAATTAACTTTTTGTTAAACACTTCTTTGTCATCCAATTTTCAGAAAATGTATAACTTGAACCAGCATGCATGAGCAGGCTCTATTAAACCGAATCCTGCAATCGTCACATCAGTGAAGTGTTAATCAATTTATTGATTTTATTTTGCGTTCAATTTAGCATCATTTGCAAAATTGAAAAACTTGCAGGCTCGGTTAAATTTAACCTGTTCATAGGCGGTATTGAAGTGTGCAAGCTACCGTTCAAGCCCCCTAACACCGGCTTAAGCAGAATACCACATTTTACACGAACAGCTCAAACTCTGCACGTATATTTGTTCATACGACAGTTGTCATTGAACTTTTATTTTTTTTTCACATTAAGCGGCATATATGGTAACAAAGTATAAAAAATACGTGTGACCTAAAGGAGAAAACCCCGTGCTGCGAAAGTAAATAAAATGAAATAATAAAAGATGATCAGGGGTAATGAACTCTATAATGTGCATTAATCTAAACTAGTTCTAACCTATAGCAACGTACTAATTTTCCATTAAAAAATACTTAATTTATTGAAAATACTTATCTCGGGGAAAAAAAGGTTTGCCACTGGTTCTTGTTGCTGGGTTGTGTTGGGGTTGCGTTCATTGAACGCCGCCTTTCATTGTTGATCTTGTTTATCATATTTTTGAAGGTAACTATATTTTGCTGTATATGTTTAAATTTGAACAAATCCAGAACATGGATATACTTTTGTTCTTAATATTCTGCTTGCGATTCTTATTTCAAAACAATTCCTATATTGTGACATTTTCTGTCCTATTTGTAATTCAAGTCGTATTGTTATTATATAATTTCTAAAATAATCAAATTACTATGATTTTTGTTCGGCACTTTTAAATGATTTTATTATTTTATGAGTTTGGTTTTCTACTTTTTCCTGTCGAAAAATGCTATTGTTTTTAACATTTTGCAGTTCAAAAGTTCTAACAGTATCAATAATGCCAACTCAAAAATTCTTAATCATTTCTTAAATTATATCGCAGTCGTTAAAATGAATTTAAATGCATTGTCAATTTTATTATTTGCATACTTCTATATTGTGAAACAAAGAAACGATTTATCTAGAGCGTCAAAAATATATTTTTAAACATAAAATTATATATGTATATAACGGCAGTATTACGCATATCAGACAGCAATTTAGTCAAACAATGATCGACTATTTAAAAATGATTAAAAGGAAAAAAGGCGACAACTTACCTTAGATATCAAGCTGCTGTGTTAAATAATGATTTAATTATTCAATTTTCAGAAAATCATACTCGATATTTTCGGAAAGTGAGAATTTATATTGACCCAGGTACGGTGAATTAAATGTTCATGATTTATTATTAAAAGTATAGAGAAAGACCTTTTTTAAATATTCATATTTTTCATAGTAGAACAAACATGTCGTACAGCATTATATCAAAATGAAACTTGTTCATAGCTCAGGTTGCTAATGCTAATAAGTATGTTGTCCCTGTCTTTGTGTCTTATTCTGCTATTGTTCTATTTTAAATGTTCATAAAGCCTCAGAATATTGCAAAGTTTGAATATTGAAAAGAACTATGTTGTTTTTATGATGAAGTAATGGGTTTAGAAGATATTTGATGCTTATTACTTAAAGTATAAAATTATTTCTGATAAAGGTAGCAAAATGTAATCAAAGTGGTAATTTGACTTCCATACAAAATATCCAGTCACTAGAACTTTACTAGTTGCCAAAACAAAATGGAAGCAAAAGATGGTTCGGCTGTATGGCCAATGAGTGACATTCTGGAAATTGTTAAATGACATCAAACATAAGAAGCTTTTAAAAATGAAAATGTTACTATTGTTAAGTTTAACGGGGCCTTGATTTTAGGTAATCAGAAGGTTGGTAAAGTTACAAGTTAATTTTATGAATTTCAATAAGAGACCCCTATTGAGAAGTTAAAATAAAAAAAATATATTTTTCATGTCAAAAAGTATTTAAATCTTATTTCTTGATGACAATTTTTTGGTAAAATGATGTTGCAATGAAGTCACCTGACTATGCTATATGTATTACCAAACTAATTTATTACTTTTTTTCACTTTGAAATTGCATTTGGTCGGAATTTATTTTAATATCATTTATTTATGTCAATTTTAGATTGAATGCATGTGATGTTGACTAATTAGGTCCATGCAAAAGCTGCATATCTCCATTACAATGAATTAAATTTATGTGGTCTGGTACCGACATATTAGGTGGAAGAAAATTGAGCGTTAAGTCTAACAGCATGCTAGATTCATGCTTATTTCATAAAATTTTTAAGATTTATCAAAAAGTAAAATATGCATTGTGCTTACATCGCACACGGCACTTCAAGAAATTTACCAGAATATACACAAAAAGCCCTAATTGCATTAGTCACGCAGTAGAAATATGGCGATAAATGCTGCAAAGTCCGTCATTAATTGCATATAACATGTAAATTCGTTCTTGTTTTGTGCATATCTTTACATTTCTTTCAATTTTACATTTCAAAAATAGTTTGGCTCATCTGGAGGCATGCAGCTTTAAATCATGTGGTCAAAAATGAAGATGAAGTACAAAAAATATAACAAGATTAACATGTTACAGCACGTACTTCGATCAAGATAAATATAACCTTTGACAATTACGTCAGAACATTAAAATTTATATTGTTCACCCCGTTAAAATTTATTGCGTCATACTTAATCACAAAGTCTTTGCATGTTATTGTGTCTTATATAGCATGTTATTGGTAAAATTGGCTTATTCCGCTCAAGCCGGTTCTGGGGGTATCGTGAGGGATGTTGCACTTTTTCATAATCCCTCATCTACAATGTACAGACTCAATCAAACCGAGTCTGCAATTTTCATGTAATTTTGTTGTGATTAATGCTTCTGAGGAATCGCTTTGTTTCCAGATGTTTATGTTATTATAACAAATAAGTAAAGATCACGTTCATGTAAATGTAACTTAGCCTGTTTTAGTACTTTGTGTCAGCTATGTCTGCACATTTTGCTACATACATCAAAACTTGTTCATGGTTTAGTTACGAATATATTTAAGTTGCCCGTGCACCTTTCTGTTACGTACATAAAATGCTCGTAGGAAATCAAAAGAAAACTATATCATGTGTAATAACGCGTTGGTAAACAGATAAAACATGAATTGTTAGACTTTTTTATTTGTATGATTAATTCAACAGAAGATAATGAATAAATGAATAAAGTACTCTTCCTGGGTATTCATTTTCAGTGTAGAAATAGTATTAGGGGGCGTGTATTCAAGCACAACTTAGGGCAACTTTCTTTTCACCTTATGTACTTTTTTTCATTTTGTCTACTATCGTCAGATTTCTTTTTATTTTCAGAAATATTTGTAGTTTTTTATCTCTTTAGTGTGAAATGAGTGTTAATATGGTAGCTTTACAACGTGAATGATTATATTTTGAAATTCGGATTATAGACCTCCTTTATCTTTTGCACACATGATCAAAAATGTATTTAGATCATTGTTATTGAAAATATAATGATGCCCCATAGATAAATGACAAAATATTACGGGATTTCTAAACCCACTGTCTTTCTCTTTTATCAAAAGTGATAGATACATGTTTTAAGTAACCAATATTTTATTCAGTATGCTTTTTCAGATATGCTTTTTTGTTTTGTATGTTACAAGTTCAAAACTATGATCAATTGTTATTACTTCTGAAGTTGAATAATGATAAAATAAATAAATAAGAAAATTATTTAATTGATATAAAAGATATTTGTTGACGTTCTATAAAACTGATACGTAAGCTAAACATTTTAAACTTTTATTAATTTTGTATTTGCGTCAAGAATATCATAAAGTTTAAAAATGTAAAGTTAAGTTTAAGATGACTTTTCAAACATTGTTTACATCATAAATAAAAATAAAATAATACAAATATCAAAAATAAATAAATAAATATCAACTTACATAAGATGCTGTTGCTACCAGAACGAATACAACGCTCTCGATTATCAATACACATAAATTATAGCCTTAATTTTCGGAAAAAGCAATCCTCCCAGGTATGCCCATAAAACAGCTCGTGTGAACAAAGTCAGTGATGCAATAGTGTAAATAGTTAATGTGCATTTTATGAGGTTTATGTATTGATTAAAATAAGGTGTATTAAAGAATTTCATAATATTCTTAAACACTATTTTTTCGAAACAGGTGTACATTTTATGACTCAAAAGTACAAGCACATCGAATTTCGGCTGCTTTCATAAAAGCGCGGGAAAAAGACTTCCGTATTCATCTACAATAATTTTTCATTTAATAGTTTTCTATTTCTCCCATAATTTTTCATTTAATAGTAAACATTTCGCCCATGCAACGAAATAATATCTCTATAGCCATGCTATTGTGAAATTAACGAATTTGTTTAATTCCTAAATATCAACCTCTTAAACTTACCATATGCGTAATGAAAAGAAATAAACTTCAAAAGCTAAAGATATCTCTTAAAGTGACATTATGCCCATCCAAGGGTATATAGTGAGTAAATAGGTGAATATCGTAATAAGTTTTCATTTAGCCATAATTCCTTTTAATTTAATAATTTACTTCCCATAAACAAAAAATAATGCACAGATCCAAATAAAATTTCTATAAATATCTATTAGAATTTACCTATAATGCTCAGTTTATAAAAAGAGTGGGGCAGTCTTTTTATATTTTAGGCAGATTAATAATTATATATTGAACATTTTCCAATATCAACGATTGGTCAAACACCATTGTAACAGTCAATCTTTTGAAATCTAAAGTCAATTCAGCTCAACTTGACTATGAAAATATGAGTATAATGTCACTTTAAATTTATTTTTTCAGCATATAAATTTATGCTCACCCATTGAGGGCAATCAGTTTGTTGTTTAGATATCTAAATTGTATATAACATCTGATGAACATAAAATGTTAGCTGTTATTTATATTACCAACTCGAGATGTCTGATATCTAAAAAAGTAAACAACCGCTTTGGGCTTAAAACCTTTCGATGTACTTTTTTATTTTCTTTAAAATCGATATTGAATAAATTTTTCTGACGTAAAGGACTTGTTTTAGTTCTATCCAGTAATATATAACAAATTTAACCAACCACGTACATAACGTGTAATGAATCAATTTCAATAAAAGTCAAATATTGGACGGGGAAACTTATGTTAATTTCATGTTGACTGTAATTCTACTGCATTAGGATAACTAAAAACTAAAAGTGATTATTTATTGAAATTCTGTAAAACAACTGCGCATTTAATTGAACTTGTTTGTAATGCAGATGGGACATGTTCAATTTATGGGATCAGTCACTATGTAGTAGGTTTACTTCTAAAGAAAAACTATTCTGATTAAAAGACGTAATTCGTAAAACATTTTAATGTCCTGTTGAATTTCCTATAAGAGCATAATAATTGAAAGGCAAACGGTATTTGACTGAAATATCGTAAAGTCGGTTTCTATTCAAACATCAGTCTGTGGTGATTTAGTTTAATATGTACGTTGATTTGTGCGCTTAGATACACTAGTTTATTACGTAAACGGGACACGGTCGATAAATTGGGCCATTAGTCAACTGCTTTGTTAAGGAGGACATAACCTTGTAAGGAGATCATTATTATGAGTTCTTTGCGGTTCCTTTATGCAACAAGTAGGTCAACTCCGGTAGAAATGTTATTATTCTAGAACAATTTTGTCTGAATTCAAACAGTTAAAAAATACGACACATTAGAGAGCCAAAGAATTATTCGAACTACTATAAAGCTTTAGTCTACATTAAGTCTGCTTTAGTCTACATCTACAGTCTGCTTTAGTCTAACCATATCATATTGGTTTAAATTTCTCCGTATCGTGTGATCGTCACTTCCGACGATGTTTACTTTCTCTGTTGAGACATATATATGTAACATTAGATGGACAAAAAAATATGCTAGCTTTTATTTATAATACCTACTTGACATGTTTGATATCAAACGTAGCAAACAATCTCTCTGGGCTTCAAACGTTTAATTTCTTTTTTATGTTAAAAAAATTATCATTGAATCAGTTTGATGAAGTTAAACACTTGTTCCAGTTGTACCCAGTAAAATATAACTATTACAAGCAACCACGTACATAACTTGTCATTTAATAACGTCAATTACTATGAAATTAACTTGATGGGAAATTTTTTGATTGCTCATTTGATTTTTATTATAATGTAGTGGGATACTTATCAACCGTATATTATTTGAAATTGTGATGTCGGTATCTATTAATAATTTAGATGGTGCTTATTTATTTCCACATGTGCTTGCAATTCCGTATAACAAATGCGCATTTAAATAAACTTGAATGTTACGCAGACGGGACATTTTCAACTAAGTGGGTCGATAAGATTACTTCTAAATAATCACTATCCTGATTAAAAGAAGAAGAACGTTTTATCATTGTGTCGACCTTTCTTTAAAGCACTACTGGTTTATATAAAAGTATTTACTGAAATTAACTGGTTATTTAGTTAATAGTGCGTGACTTGCGCTAGTATTACGGCAAATCACTCCTGTGAAAAAGAAAACATATCTTTAAAACAAGGCCTTGATTTATCTTCAACAAAAGATAAGTTGAAAATGCATTTTAAAGTATTCGAGTTCCCCTGGTATGTCATTTCATCAATAAGTATGCTTTCGCAGATGACATATTCAATTTAACAGTTTCTTTTCTTTTTATCTCGATACGAATAAATAACAACTAACTCTGAAATCATAATGTTTATTATACAGAAAATAAATGTGCACAAAGGATTTTAAATCATTAATGGGCCGCGTCACGACAAAACCAACATAATGGGTTTGCGACAAGCATGGATCCAGACCAGCCTGCACATCCGCGCAGTCTGATCAGGATCCATGCTGTTCGCTATCAGTTTCTCTACTTGTTATAGGGTTTGTAAGCGAACAGCATGGATCCTGGTCAGACTGCGCGGATGCGCAGGTTGGTCTGGATCCATGCTGGTCGCAAACCCATTATGTTGGTTTTGTCGTGACGCGGCTCATTTTGTTTTGTAAACATCTGTTTGATTTTGTCTCTGTTAAAATTAAAACTATAATATTGTTAAAATCGGTTTCTACCAGAATTCTTTTAATCTTAAAGACGTAAGCTTCTGTTATCGTTTAGATATATAAACAGAATGAAATATTTTTAAACTTTTAAAAACCAAAAAAATGTTGGTTACATTTCTCATGTAAAAGGTTGAATGCTTCCCGTGAGTGTTATCGTCTTTCCTCTTTCAAGTGCACTATAATTCAAAATCATGATAAAAGCTAAAACTGTGTTTCTACTTTTTTCAAATAATTGAAAAAAAGAAAGAAAAAAAAGTTCCCCTGCCCTTTTTTTTTTTTTTTTAAATAACAAGTAAAGTTTGTTGCCCCAAAAAAAAAATTCAAAAAATATTGGCGAAGAGCGGTTTTTGTCATTATTTCTCTCTTCTTAATTCTGGAAACAAAGTGATCCCTCGGAAGCATTAATCACAACAAAATAACATAAGAATTGCAGACTCGGTTTGATTGAGTCTGTACATGAGGGATAATGAATAAGTGCAACGTCCCTCACGCCCCCTAGCACCGGCTTGAGCGGTACTCAATTCTCAACACTTTATAGTGTTGGCATCAATGATCCCGAAGGACCAGAAAATATAACAACACTGAAGTGAAGTACGGGGCAACATTTTACGGCTGCCACACGGCACTTGACACCTGCTGTTGTGAAGTACAAAATTCTGGAAACAAAGTGATCCCTCGGAAGCATTAATCACAACAAAATAACATAAGAATTGCAGACTCGGTTTGATTGAGTCTGTACATGAGGGATAATGAATAAGTCCTAAACCTAGGTCGATTGTCTTAAAAAAAAAACAGACCTTTTAAAAGAATTTTCAGGACAAGGACAACATTGTTGCAAAATACGCACGTCACAAAAGCTTTCGACAGAGATTGGTGGGATTAAAGAGATTCATAGAGAGATCTCCTAATGCCAATATCCGGAACAATACGAATTTTATATCTCTAGTACCTGACTTTGCAAAATATAACTATTAAATTGCAATGTTCACACTTTGAGTCATGAGTAGTTTATCATTTTTACATCCATCAAAGATAACTAAATTTTCCTTACACATCTTTGTTTATCTTAACTTTTGACCCTTCTGGACCCTTGACTGGTAAGAGAAGCCTGAATTATGCGCGCAAATACTAAGCCCTCAAAATGTTAAACATTTGTGCAAAGTTACATTAAAATCCCCTGATGAATGTATAAGTTTTGCGCCAAAACAAGCATTTTAAATAACCTCTAAGTGTGATCTTAACCTTTAACCTAGAGACCTGATTTATGCACCTGACACTGCTTCTCATAGTGGTGAACATTTCTATGAAGTTTCATTAGAATCAAGCTATGCATGTAAGAGATATACTCTGGACAATATCTTTATATTTTATCATCTTTATTGACCTTGACATTCAGTATATAACCCTAATTACATGGGTCACATCCATAGTCGTGGTAATGGCCATTTGTGTTTCAATCCCTCAATAAATGATGACTAAATGGTCCAAATACACATTTTCATATTTTATCTGAACTTTGACCCCTTTGTGTGACCTTGACCTTAGCCGCATGGACCTAAATTTTGCATGCAACACTCCGCCTTACAATGGTGAACATTTGTTCTAAGTTATATGGAAATCCCAATAAGCATGTAAAAGTTTTGCTCCAGACAAGCGTTTTCCAATTACCTCTAAGTGTGACCTTAACATTTAATCTTGAGAGCTGGTTTATGCGCATGACACTGCTTCTCATAGTGGTGAACATTTCTATGAAGTTTCTTTAGAATCCCTCCATGAGTGTAGGAGATATGCTCTGGACAAAATCTCTATATTTTATCATCTTTAGTGACCTTTACCTTTCATATATTAACCTTAATAACATGGTTCACACCCGTAGTCATGATAACGACCATTTGTGTTTAAATCCCTCAATAAATGATGACTAAATGGTCCGGATACATATTTTCATATCTAATCTAAACTTTGATCCCTATGTGTGACATTAACCTTGGCAACAGGGAACTATAATACGAATCCATTTTCCAAAACCGCCTAACTTAAGGAATATACAAACTTGAAATATGACATTCAATTAATAGCTTAATCTCCGGCATGCGTATGTAAAAGCTATTTTTGTTAAACAAATTGCGTGCGTTTAATTGAACTAAAACTGAGCCCTCAACGACAAAACCGAACATGGTCGTTTCGAACACCATCAATGGATCCAGCCAGCCAGCGCATGAGGCTCAGTCTATCAGATCAATACTTGCTATCAGAATCCTCCTACTTGTATAGTTTGTAACGCACATAGCATGACCTGATCAGACTGCGCGTGCGCACTGGTCTGGACCATAGCGGTCGCCAACCATTCCGTCTGTTTTTGTCATACGCGCCAAATATTCTATCACGCATGAATTACACGTGTAAGCAACATTATATTTATGCAAAGAAATCATGCATCTCATAAAAAGGAAGCTTCTTTTAAAGAATTTTTGTTTGCTATTTAAATATTCTCAATTTGTTTAAAAATATTATGTTTGCATCATTTCAATAACATATGTACATTTGAAATATTTTGCGTGCGTATATAATATAAATCTAAATAATATAATATAGGTAAATAAATGCTTTATCAGACATACATAAATAATAAAGTTAATCAAGTGTTTGTTGAAAAAAGAACTTTAAACGTATAAATTAATTGAATTATAAATAATTCAACCGTGTCAACACCGAATTTCTAATGAATATATTTATAAAAGCTGATGTACTAATAAAATAATAAAAAGGTTTCATGTATTTCATTGTCCTCAAGTAAAAGTCATCAGAGTTTTTATCATGTATATTCAATGAAATTCTTATATTCCATGTTTATATTCCATGACACGACAAGACGTAAGTCGTATACATTCCCGAAAAAGTCGCAATTAATGCATATCGGTTTACTCAATTTCAGGCACCTGTCCATTCTAATAAAACATCAACACCTAAATCGAACTTTCTTCATGTGCTTTTCGTCCGATGGCGTCGTAAAATCTATTATAAAGAGAAATGTACAAAGAACAATTATGATACAAATTACACTGATATGTAAAAAAAACAGCAAAACTATTACATAAACAAAGGTTTGCCCGTATGAATGAAATATCAAAACTTACTCATTACAATATCGTGGAACAAGCAAGAAACTCACTAAACAGGCCGTGGAATAAGCAAAAATGTCATTAAGTAAACAAGCATATGACTCATCTAAGATAAAACTAAAACATGAATTTAATTAGCCCTTGAGCTGCTGATTTTGTACATGAGCATTACGGACTTGTCAGGCATTGAATTTGTGGCAGATCATTTAAAGTTTAGGGATTTCAATATCAAAATTACAAAAATCGATCTACCAAAAGTACAGAGTCTTTTTTGAGACTGCATGGATTGCAGGCTGGCCTGACTCTATACTGGTTGCATAAGCCTATCGCTTCTGGTTCCAGGTTAAAGTTTAGCAGTCATGATAATTTTGATGAGAACGATGTCTGAAAAGTGTAGGAGTATCATAAGTTAAATTCCCATAGTTTCGTGAAATACTTAGAAAATACAGATTATGCATTAAAACACACAAACAAGGTCAATTAAAACATTAGCAGTACTTCAATAGTAATAAATGTATTCCCACGCCCGGCAAACTGTCGCTCCACTTCAAAATTGTGGTGTACGGTAAAATGAGCGAACGGCATTTCCGAGATAGAGCGGAAGGCCGATTTAAACGCCTAATTGTAAGTATTGTTTATGTTTTTGTCTTGTTCTTTATTTAAGTTATATTTTTTCGAAAAACGTAAAATGTGGTTCCGTGTAGGATTGATTTAGGCTTCCAATGATCTAAGCTGTTACAAAAAGAAAATTATATTAAGCCCGGTAGAACTTTTCTCCCTGACGAAGCGAACGATGATTTGTAGAAAATTGAACTTCCCAACCATAGAAATGCCATACCTTTCGGATTTCTTGAAAAAGTGTATTAGTAAATTATCAACCCGTAATAAGAACTTGTCCTTCGTGCAAAATAAATTACTCCTGAAGGATTTCTTAAATTTGTAAATCGATATTTTTCGAAAGTAGTGGAGCGAAAGGGCGAGAGATGGAGCAAAAGGTTCGATGTTGAGCGCAAGGCGATATTAATTTGACGTATTAGGAGGAGCGTAGTCATGATTTTTATAAATAAAAGCTATAGAAGTTAAGATAGACATGATCAAGTGTTAAGACCGAGATATATATACCTTTTAAAGAGAACTAATAAAGTGTGATATCCTTTCAACGACTATAGCGTAATATAGGGTTAACGCACGTTTTCCCGTGTTATAACGTCTGCAGAGTCCCGAGGAACGGTTGGTGCCCGAGCCCGGTAGGGCGAGGGCTCCAACAGTTCCGAGGGACTCTGCAGACTTTATAACACGAAATAAACGTGCGTTGACGCTATTATAGCATAAAATTTTCAAACAGAGTCGTGATGTATAGTTTATACAGAACACAATTACATTTAATTATTGTGCTTGGACGGTATTTATCCAATTCTATGTTTTACGTATGCGTTTCATTTTTCCGGGGCCAACAATTTGGAAAATTCTCGGAACCGAACGAAATTTTGAATTTTAATTGATTTAACAAAGCTTGGCCTTTGGAGATTTATTATCTCAAGAAAAAAAACATTACATTACTCTACCCTCTACCCAAGACAAAATATGACCCTCAGAAATTCTTAGAATGATTTCAGATTGACGGTAGAAAAAGATCAGTGACATCAGAATCGGTTTTTCTTTTCAAGCAAACAAGGGCACTAAGCATTATTCTCTCAAAGAAATATAAAGAGCATTTATCAACATAAACATAAATAAAAAACATTTTCTCATATTAATTTTGTGTTATCTAGTTTTGTAAGTTAATCGGAGTGTTAAACTGAATGACGGGTAGATTCTACTGTATTTGTTTACATTGACAACTGTCCGTTTCTTAGAAAGGGCGACAACCAAGATTAGCACCGATGTCTATACGCCGTTTTTCCGGCATAGGTACTTGAATATGCGACTTTGAGGCCCTCCTCGAATATAACAAGAGCGCATGACTCTTTGGCAAACAGGCCAAATCGTCATTTTTTGTTTGTTTGTTTACTGGGCCCTGTATGTATTGCGCATAGGTGAAACCGGGCTATAACAAGAGCGCATGACTATGTTAACACATGGTTTTGGTCCCGTTATAACATGGGCAAAAGAGGGAAAAATAGCCGATTTTATGCTATAATAAATGTAATCGCGAAGGTGTCACATATGGCTGCCGTGTAGATTCCATTATTCATGTTCGAAATTTGGATGAGGCCCGACCATTGAATCATACACATGTATGCATGGCATAATACAGGATGCCACTTATTCGAGGTCAATCATGATTTTTGACACGGTTATGTAAATTTAAAAACGTGTGTCCGTGCAAATGCGACAAAGTCGAATATTTTTAGTTCTACCGCGAACAAATGTTTCCGAGCAGGTACGTGTAACTCGATTGTTTACGCCAAAATGTTATGTTTTTCGAAAAGTTAGATATTCAAGGTGCAGAACAGAAACAAAATTATGCAATGCATGGAACACATTAAATTAAATGGATCACTACTACCAAATTCAGTTCACAATGACTTTCTGTAATTAATAGCTCTAACGTACCTGTTCTGAGCAAAAACACAAATAAGCCACGTTTTCATGAATTTGTAAGGTGGGGAATCGCTATGAAAATGGTTGACAAGGTGTCAGTCGTTATAAGGATATAACACGTGTTCCAGTTATGTTTCAAGATACTTCCTCCCTTATTTAGCATTGTTGTTTAGTTTATTATTTTCGTCTGAAAGTGTAAATAGAAATTTCTACTATAACTAGGTCTATTATATTATTGATAATTTTAGTCCGTACACCGACTGAGTTCTGCCTCACTTTGAGAGGAAATTAATAAACTAAACAACAATGCTAAATACGGGAGGAAGTATCTTGAAACATAACTGGAACACGTGTTATATCCTTATAACGACTGACACCTTGTCAACCATTTTTATAGCGATTCCCCACCTTACAAATTCATGAAAACGTGACAGAAAGTCATTGTGAACTGAACTCGGTAGTAGTGATCCATTTAATTTAATGTGTTCCATGCATTGCATAATTTTGTTTCTGTTCTGCACCTTGAATATCTAACTTTCGAAAAACATAACATTTTGGCATGAACAATCGAGTTACACGTACCTGCTCGGAAACATTTGTTCGTGGTAGAGCTAAAAATATTCGATTTTGTCGCATTTGCACGGACACACGTTTTTAAATGTACATAACCGTGTCAAAAATCATGATTGACCTCGAATAAGTGGCATCCTGTATTATGCCATGCATACATTTGTATGATTCAATGGTCGGGCCTCATCCAAAATTCGAACATAAATAAAGAAATCTACACGGAAGCCATAGGTGACACCTTCGCGATTACATTTATTACGCTATAGTCGTTGAAAGGATATCACACTTTATTAGTTGTCTTCAAAAGGTATATATATCGGTCTGAACACTTGATTACGTCTATTTTAACTTCTATAGCTTTTATATGTAAAAAAAATCATAGACTACGCTCCTCCTAATACGTCAAATTAATATCGCCTTGCGCTCAACATCGAACCTTTTGCTCCATCTCTTGCCCTTTCGCTCCACTACTGACGAAAAATATCGGTTTACAAATTTAAGAAATCCTTCAGGAGTAATTTATTTTGCACGAAGGACAAGTTCTTATTACGGGTCGATAATTTACTAATACATTTTTTCAAGAAATCCGAAAGGTATGGCATTTCTATGGTTGGGAAGTTCAATATTCTACAAATCGTCGTTTGGTTCGTTAGGGAGAAAAGTTCTTCCGGGCTTAATATAATTTTGTTTTTGTCAGCTTAGATCATTGGAAGCCTTAATCAAACATACACTGAACTACATTTCCGTTTTTCGGAAAAACTATAACTTAAATGAATAACAAGAAAAAAAACATAAACAATACTTACAGTTAGCCGTGTAAATCAGCCTTCCGCTCTATCTCGGAAATGACGTTCGCTTGTTTTACCGTACACTGGAGCGACAGTTTGCCGGGCGTGATTCCGTAATAAATGCTACCTCTTTGGTTTAACATCATTGCTTCACAAATAAATGACCGTATGTCAACCAAAACTTCTCTTGCATCCTTATAATCATCAGTCTTGATATTTGAGCTCACTTCCTTTGGGTTTTGAATTAATGCTATAGGTGTTACTTCTACAATTAAACAAATACCCATTGTTCTTAAACAGAAATAATCAAATAACCATAAATTATAGATATATCAAGAACATATGTCAGACTGCCTTTTAAATAATTATCAAAATTTGAGTTTCAGCAATTTAACCGCAGAAAGTGGGAAATGAACTGGATTTCTGTGCAATTCATGAAACAGTTTTCAGTTTTCCCGCCGCTTGGCGGTTTTGTTTTTCCTGGTCTTTGTCAAAAGAAAATGCTAATGAATTTGAGCATAAATTTATGTTATAATGATCTATAAAGATAAATAGTCAGGTCAAAATTGAAAATCGTACATCACAATAAGTCATTGTCCTTAATATTAAAAATACAAATGTATATAGACAAAGTAGAAAGAGGGCATTAGAATTCTCCATAATTACCCGTCGATGAACGGTTGTTGCCTAGTCCAATAAATCGACGTAGTTTATTAAGTATATTGTTAACCAACTCAGAACCGCTATCATTTGAACATATTTTATGTGCCTCATCGATGGCTGCGCACAGGATTGCAAAGAATATTGTCATCATCAGATATACAACCCCGCTCACAAAAAGCATGAAGTAGACTTTAGCCATGACAGGGTCCGACTCTTCAACTTCTGAGAAGCGGCTTTTCCCCAGAATGCTTATAAACAATGTTTCCATTGCCTTGACAACATTTTGATATGCTTTGATGTCCGACCCAAACAGAAGGTATCCTAAAGCCGCATATGAAATGAATGTAAATATAAAAAATGCAGCGAATGAAATCAAATCTTTTGCAGCCTTCGAAAACACATTTGCCAGAACCTTTATTCTTTGCGTGTAACCAAATATTTTCAACAGACGTAAAATGGCCATGAACACCAAAATGCCAATTGACATGACGACTACTTGATTCCATATTGCGATATGTTGAAAATTTACAAACTCCTTCTTATCTACCCTAAATACATCTAAGCTCTTGTTTGCAAATACCATTTGCACTATCACCATAGCTATTGTGACGTAACCTCCGATCGCAGAAAACAAATCGTATATTTGCCAAGTGTCTTTAAAGAATGTTCTTCTTTCTTTCAAGAGTTTATGTACTAGATGTAACGAAAATAGAAAAAGGTATACTACATAGGATATTTCACAAACCAATGTGTACACGCCTGAAGGTCCCAGATGAAGATATACTCGTAATGGGAAAACGCTATAGGTAGGAACAGCGCCACCTGTTTCCGGAAACTCAACCATAAATATACAGTAAGTAAATATATTCGTATTTGGACTATACAGTGTGAACTCAAACAACACCGCCCTGGTTTCCCTATCTATCCAGATGTTTCTATATAACTCGGTTATAATCTTTTGACTGACTTGTCTATTCACATTGAGTTTTGCAATGTATCCGCCTCCGGTGTATGTTGCAAAATGACCAACAGTTGGCAAACCCCAAATATCAAAAGACGAAGTATGTGTCCAAGCGGGTGATGAATAATTGTATAATGCATCTTTCTGGCTGCACTTTTCTTTGCTCCATTTGAAACAATACGACCCGGTATCTTCGGAGGCACTCCGATAAGTTTTATAACAATCAATAGTACCAATGTAACTGTAGTGGCATGTCCCTACAACATAAAGATGTAGCTTGCGGTTGTAGATTATATCCAATAAAAAGAATGTACAAAGTTTCATTGTTTCACAACCTTTTGAGCATATGCACGTTTTAATGTAAGTATATGCTGAACGTAGTATTCAGTTATAATGATTAAAAGAGAAACTATAAAGTACGATTGACCCGGAATGATAATACCAACCATGACAAGGAATTACTCTTTTTTACATTTTAATGAAGATTTGGCCGATTTGTATGTCTTATAATGATTTATTGAAAAATGGCTGTTTTCATTGAAAAGTCTCCCGTTACAAGTTAAAGTTGCTATAAAACTATAAAAACTGCTTCAATACTAATCAAACTTGGCACAAATGTTGACTGTAAAATTGCCTTTGTAACAACATGCTCAGTCTTAAATTTTCTGTTACCATGGCAACTAGGCGACATCTCAAAATTGCCAAAAATCACTATTTTGCGTTGATTTTTCCATCAAAATTGATTTCAAAGTGCTGCAACTTCTCAATGATGGATTAAGATACCTCTCACAAGTCCAAACTTTTCTTGGCGATGAGGGGACTACCACCCCCTTCAACCCCCCACCCCCCCAATGTATCTTTTGGATGGGGGACGGCGCCAAAAAGTGCTCACTTTTTTAAACACCATTTTTCAAACAAAAAACAAGTGTTTAGGGCCTAAATAAGGCATTTTTTCACCATTTGAGAAAGCAAAAATTGGGGGGGTGAAAAAGGCGTAGAAAGGCGTATATATCTGGTAATGGCTTAAATAATCAAATAAACAATGGAAAAGCAAGCAATTTCGACGAATAATGCACAGTACCTTTTCTTATTCTGAGTTGTCTAAGTCGTGGTGGTCCGACTCTAAACAGATGCCCCCCTTCAATGTGTTGACGTTCCCTCCAATGCAACGGTGTATTGCCACTATCTATGTTTGTTTCCGGGAATGATTTCATAATTGCTGTATTATTTAACCATGTGTAAAAGTCTGTAGACGTTTGTATCTGTATTTAAATATGAAAGAGAAAAGGAATACCTATTATTTTTGGCAAAACAAATTGATTATTCACATCTAATAAAAAAAAAAAAACCCTCCGCAGCTCAAGCAAAATAGTACCTTTCAAAACGTTATCAATATTTAACCCATTCAATAGTTTCTTGAAAAAGAAATTATGTCGGGATCGACTCTACATAGAAATTTCTTCGTCTGGCGCAAAAATAATGCTGAATATTTCTAAATGACTCCAACTGTGTGACGCTAAAGGCAACAACAACAAAAAAAGAAAAATAGTCATATTCAGTAAGAAAATTAATACCTTAGAAAACGACGCCATGCCTGATGGTTTGACAAATGTATTCTCTATGTATTGGTACAGTTCGTAAGATCGTGAGTCCCTGCTTGAATAGCTGATGCTCACTAAGATCCAGATTAAAACTGTTGTAGAGATGCAGTCATAAAGGTTGTTCAGAGATTTCTTATCTTCTGAGTTCTTTACTTGTGCTTCCTTTAATTGTGTCGTATCAAAATTTGATACGGTCATACGGGTTGCGTCTACAAATAAATGTCAATAAAGACGTACGTGATTTCAAGTTTAATTATTTCAAATGAAATAAAGATACTTTTTATTGTTATTTTATTCAAAATATTTGACAGATTTAACATACAAAAAATCTATGAAATGTTAACCCTTAAATAATTGTACAATAAGTAAAGATTATTTGTCCTTTACTATCACTTTAATTTTGCCCAACTTTTGTTTCAATATTTCAGCTACATTTTAATTTAGCTAAACCTTCATACCACATTTCTTTCTAGAAGACGTAGAGAAGTACTTTATGACATGGCTCCTAGTTATTAGTGTACTGGGACTTGACATCTTTCTGAACAGCATCGCAAAAACAACTGCCATCAACAAAATCTAAAAGAATATGTTATTAATGATTCGATTAAAATCCGAGACAAAACACAGCGATAAAAGAACGATGAATATAAATAAAAAATGGTGAACGACGCAACATCTATATAAGCGCCAGTGTAAACAAGTAAAGTGACCACCGGCACCGGTCTGAAAACATCATTGTAAAAAAGTTTTAAAAAAAACACTTTGCATTCACCTTGTTTTCACATTCTGATAAAAGTCATACTCTAAAGAAAATTTTAGCAAACAAAATACGTTGTTCAATGCAAATTACTTAAATAACATAACAGAATAAAACACTTCCTTGCATTTCTTCACATATATTTAATTACTCCTTTTAATTTTTTAATGTGTATGTTTTGATTTGGGTTTTTGGGTTCTTCATATATTTTTGGTCATAATATTTTTAAAGAAAAGACATCATAAAAGTAATTACTTTAACTGGGTCAACGCAGAAGATGGACTGAAAGATTGATAATAACAGCATGGTAACCCATTCATCTGACTTTTGTTTACCCCATTCCATACTGTACAAGACTACATAAAATGCCGAGACAAGAGTCGCTGAGACAAGAAGAAACCATGCCAGGTATATGCACTGATTTGGCAAGGTGAACCCCTGTAATAGAATTATAGCAACAATTCACACTTGTATCTACATGTATACTATATTATTAAATATACATTGGATAGAATGGCGGCTTTTCTTTCTTTTAAAGATGCATCATAACAGAAAAAAATAACATTTTTAAATTTGATAATCTAAAATGTCTTGTTTTTTTTCATTAATGACATCATTAATTTGTTTGTCCATTTAAGAGTAAAATGTTATAGTTCATTAGAATATTAGAAACCTGCAAAAAGTAACATTGTTTTATTTCTAGTTTACCTTTATCTCTATAATAGTTATTGCAAATTTCTACCTTCATTTCTGGATACCCTTTCTGAATGATTTTCCTTTCCAGTTCTATATTCCGCTTTTTCTCCTTGTCCAACCACGCGTCAAAGAATGGTATTCTAAAATCACGCGACGTTTTTCTTCGTTTATCAAATAATGGCTTGTTTTTATTTGCAGGATAATATCTTGATAACTTAAACAAATAAATCACGAGCAATGTTGCTGGCGTGACCACAAGGCCGGAAATTAATGATTGGTAAACCTGAAATGAAAACAACAGATATTGTTTTAGGTCATTTGGGATGGAACATATCTGTGTTTTAAGTTGTTTCTATATAAATGCAGCGTTATGGGAATCTAGTGTATCGAAAGATATAATTCATGTCAACCCACCGCTTTAATTAAAATAAGACGCTAGTATGAAACAATGAATAACCAAACATTTCTAAAAAAACAATGATGTTGTTCTTACAGCCGCCAATCTGATTTATTTACATATTTGATTTCTATCATATTCACACATATACACATATATTTCGAAAGGGCATTTCTCATTTAGGTTTTCAAAGTCAATGATTCGTACTACTTGTTTATAAAATGAGTTGTATTTATAACCTTTGCTAATTGACTGTAACTGAACACAAACATGTCGTATTTGGAGTCTCTGTGACCGAGTTATTAAGCCGACCTTAAGTCATTTGTCCTTCACCGCTGTGGGTTCGAATTCCGTCACAAACTTTAAACTCGTGTGAGGAAGCCATCCGGAAAGCTTACGGACTGTCAGTGGACCCTAAATAATGCACCAAGGGGCACCTGAGGTCTTCCTCCAAAAGTATAGCCGGAATGATGCCGTATAGTGACTTAAAATCAAACAAAACAAACCAACACACTTGTTGATAAAAATGAATGTATCAAATTGCCTAATTCCCAATAAGTCAAGTGTGTTTTTCAAGTGTCTTTATGAGATACTTCGAAATTGTTTTATATTATAAAAGGCACAAAGCAAAGTGACGTAGCAGGACAAAGCAAAAACGAAACTTATCAAACTGAGTACTAGCGGCACAGGGCATAAGAAGTTCCTTTAAAACTAAAAGTGTGTCCAAGTGTGAAATATTACCTGATGTAAAGAAATCCTTAAAGGACCGACTTCAAAGTCAGTTGGTAGTTCGTAATTATCCTCATTTGAACCTTTGAAAAACATTGCATTGGCAATCAATGAAAGCATAATAAACATAAGAGCGCATGATGCCCGCTGTTTTCTAGTAAAATTGCTTGTCTGTGGTCGGTACACAACGGACAACCACGCATGACTTTCTGAAAATAAAATATTGTTTTTGAGGAATTCAGCTGAAAGAGATCTGTGCAAAATTTATATTCATTTTTGAACTTCTTTTATTTTTGAATGACAATGTAAACAGTGTAACATATCTATTAAGTATTTAGGGTTTTGTCTTCATTTAGTTCAGATTATCCTAAAAAAATCTCATTATTGTAGAGATATTTTATAAAATCTATGTTATGATCTAGTTTATTCAAAATTTTGATGTCACGGAGTCAAAAGTGTTTCTGGAGAGCACGTTCAAGTCTGACAACGTTATAGAAAAAAATTTGTTAAACCATTTGTTACGTTGACTCTGATTTTATTAAAAGTCAAATATACTTATTTTTATCATCGTGAATTTTTATCAAAAAGTTTTTACAATGGTTACATCACCTGCAATATTTTCTTTTGCATTGTGGATGACCCGAAATTTAAATTTGTTCATGTTTTCATCTTTGCTCACAGGAATTACACAATCCAGCCTTTCGTCAGATTCATCAATGGCAAGCCATTTTCCGGCAAGAAAGGTAAACCTACGAAAAACCAGAAATGTAGTATGTTTTGTAAATACATTATCATTTGCTTTTATTTACGATTCGGTTAAATGTTTACAATATGACTACAATTTATTTTTGAAACGTTACTCATCAATTGTTTCAGACATAGCCTCAGATTGTACAATGTTAGTTATAAGTGTCCTTATTATGTCAACAATTGTAGATAGAAAAATGTCAAATTTGGTCAACTTTATATGTTCTATAGATGATATTTAAATAATACAGTCTTTGTATATCTTTTTATAAACACAATACATACAAAAATGTACATTATATGAACTATTTTAGAAAGGGAAACATATTCAAAATGTACTTTTCGTTTCGTTGAATATCTTCAATCTCAACTTTGCTCAAATACCATGATGCATGCCTCCTTAAGCCAGAGTTGTCGTGCCAGACTCGTATATAAACTAAATCACCAAGGTACCGGGGTGTACACATCAGAAACTGTAAAACACTACCTGTAGGAAACTCCTACAAAACAATTAAATATAGTGATTTGACAACTACATAAGTAACGTACAGCAACTGCAAAGTCAAGGTTTCATCGGTATTCATATTTTCACTTTAAATTTTACATTTACTCTTTTTCCTTTTTAAGATATGGCCATTATCAATTGAAATGACAATGCACATTGTGTATACTGGTACCGTAAGACATTTTGAACATTTTCTGGTTTCAATGAGCAACCCTTAGAAAAAGTTACAGAATTGCTGAATTACAGACAATCCTTCAGCCAATTTAATCGCTGTCTTTTTGTCCTTTAATTGCTCCAACAGGGGATCCGAAAACATATATTTTGGGTACATTTGAGTATTCTTTTTGTTTACATCTTCTAAACAATTTAACGAAATCGATATCATAAACTATGTAAAATTTACCTTTCTCACACCATCATCTAGCTGTCTAACTCCAGTATCCATTTCTTCTCCACCTATAATAATGCTTACACGTGATCTAGTCCCGGAATTAGGACGCATTCCAGTGAACACTTTAATCACGTAAAAATAATTATCATCTGCAAAGTTGTCATTCAGTGTTGTAATACCCCACTAAAATGATAAATTATCATACTTGTTTCAACTTCACACATTATAGAAAAGGTCACATAATAAAATGACAAGGTTATCTTCAATACATTTGAGTGTTTGAAACCCTACCCCCTCCTTCCTATAGAAAAAGTAATACGATAACGAAAATAAACCAATTAAAAACTTTTAAGGGTTAACAATTGCCCAATGTAGTTATGGGCGTGTGTACAATACTTAAAAACCTGGTCAAAAAGAATATGCATATACCTACCTTAAGTATGTCTGTTTTGTCTCTATGTGTTGCCCAGGCAAGGATAATGAAATAAGAGGTGAATATCACAAACAAAACACCAATTACAGCAGCTTGACTTAAAGGAGAAAATTTCAGGAAAACCGTCTTGTAGTCTATTTTATTTGGTGCTACGTAAAATGAATTGGCAAATGTCATCTCTTTGCTGGCTTTGCATTTGCATTGAAGCTCACTTGTTGCTTTAATCCAAGTCCCCTATAATTAAAAAATAGATCACATTTTTCGTTTTCTAGCACTATGCTAGTAATTTTAAGAACATATTGTATTTTGCGCCTATAATTTTTTACGGTACAAGTTCTGCTTTACTAAGAGACATAATATATATACATAAAGGTGCGACTCAAGAAACTAACCAAAATGAAATCTTAAATGTATAAAGATTCCAGTCTTGAAACCTCTGATTATTCCAACAATCAAATCAGTCTATTGGTTTGGCACAAATATTTTCAATTATACTTGTACAATATGAATTTCACTCAATTTCTATAGACATACTTGACAATCCTTTGTACCCCAAGACTTCAACGCTTCGTTCCAAGTCATACAGCCTGCACTAACAGTTGCAAGTTTAAATGTTGGAAAGTCTAGATAAGAACCATTAGAACTTTGTACGTCTGTGACATCTACATCCCTCCAATTTGTGTCTATAAATAATTATGTATCTGGTTAACTCATGAGATATGCCAGAACCGTACATCTAATTTAGCTTTTCCGATAAGAACTCTGAATTCAAGATGTCATTTACATCTCTTATTCAAGCTCTGATTAATTATATGATTTGTATCATAACTTTAACTCACTCAATCGGACTTAAATTCTTTTCATATTTGTTTACATTTATATCGTTAAATATCTGATTAATTTAGTGTGTATGACTAATTTAACAAATGTACCGGTAATAAATTTGAAATAATCATACTTTCTTGTAATAAAAATACATTCGTTAAGCATAATTACACATACTTTTCAGTACTGTTTCTATGCCTATCTGCCAAACTCCTGTATGTGAGCCCATAACTGTCGACGGGAAATGTGCAATATAATTTGGCGGAGTGCTTTGTGTCATTGCTGTATAGTCCTTTTTCGATACATGATTGTCACCATTCTTAAGAATTTAAAAATTAAAATATGACAATTTCTTACATTCAAGACGACGATATAGATGCGTCGATATCATTCTGATTTGTTAAGTTTTACAACTGTTTTACAGATGTGTGCATATGCATTATCTCATTGATAGCAGAAGAAAAAGATGATGATGATGCTGAAACAGATGATGATGATGCAGATACAGATGATGATGATGATGATGATGATGATGGTGGTTGTGGTGGTGGTGATGGTGGTGATGATGATAGTGAAAGCTATCAATTAATGACAGAAAATAATATAAATGATTGCAAGAAACTTTTTTACATCATCTACACTAATTATTTATAATACATTTTACAATAAGAACTTATCGTAAGCAAATGTAAAATTCGTACCTACGTATGAAATAGTTACCGTAAATAAAATGTAAACATTGTATGTCGCTTCTATGCCTGGCATAGGTTCAACATTAATGAAGAGATCATCATCAGCCTTTTTCATCTGTACAATGTGGTAGTCAAACTTTGATGCGTCTTCAATATGAACAATTGGAACGTGAACCTTTGGTAAAACTTTGGAAACCTACAAAAAGATGTTTGAATTGAGAAACTGATAACAACATTTTCTGACTTATCTAAAATATTTTTTCATTAAAAAAAACTAAAATAAATACTGGCCACAAAAAACAAAATAAAATGTAAAGCGTGGTGTAAGTCAATGCAATATTATCCATTTAAATATGCTTCATACAAAAAAGAAAGATTTCTAATATGTCAACCCTAAGTCCAAAACAACTCGTAATAAAAGACAAGTTGTGGTAGAAATAATATGCTTTAAAATCACCAAAATACTGATAATTATACGATTAACGACATTCAATTGCCTAACTTCATTAAATGTATTAAATAAATAATTATAATAATTAATAATTAATAATAACTTGATGTCTTTGCCGATGAAAGACTATGTCAGGAGAAAGACGTGTGATACATTGACACTATGAAATAATAGATTTCTTTACAATACGAGCAAATAAAACGACCCGGTACTCGTTTGATCCGAACACGGACACGAGTTTGATTCAAATAAGCTGCAAGCTTTAATCACAATCAAAATATAAAATTAAAAAACTATATGCTATAAAAGCATTTTAAAAACATAAAGACCTTGTGCATAAAAGTAACAGTATGTGGCGTCATATTGCCGTCTTCGCTTTCAATTACCAATCGCTTCTGATATGATGTTATCTTCGATGCCATTCCATCATTATCTATGTTGATCACAGACAATGTTTCCATCAACTGAAAATAATGGTCAAACGTAACAAACTCAAGTGTCACTGATATTGGTTTGAATAGATTGGCTTTCTCAATCTAAAACTAGACCATAGTATAATACTATAATATATGACATTCAAACCTAATGACAGACCAAATTACTCGCTTTTAAATGTATTGAAATTTATGCAGGTCAAAGAATTCTTTTAAAAGCTAAATGGCTTAATATATTACCAGGAATCTGCGGCCTTAAGATAGATATCTAAATGTTTTCAAACAATGACAATTTCTTACAAAAAGTA